TGAATGCTGGAAGTTGTGGATAACAGTGCTGATTTTCATAATTTCATCATGATTATCATGACATTTGACATTTTTCTCTGAAAGATATCATTTAACCACAGAATCACAGAATGGTCATGGTTGGAAGGGACCTCAAGGATCATGAATCTCCAACCCCCCTGCCACATACAGGGCCACCAACCACTCCATTTAATGCTAGTCCAGGTTGCCCAGGGCGCCATCCAATCTGGCCTTGAACACTTTTTTTTAATTTAGATCCCATGATACTGACTACCTGACAACTTTGAAAGCTTAGATTTAACAGTTCTCATGATTCTGAAATGAGTAGTTGTCATGAGTGTTTTCTATAACGACAAACACAAATAGTTTTACATATCATCCAGCATTCAAGGACCACCATTTCCTTTCACCTCTATTGGCACACAGGACTTAGAATTGTAATTAGATGTGCGGTCGATGCTCAGAAGACTCAGGTAAGCACTGGTGCACAGTTTATCTGTTCTCCATCTGTGAGGGTCTTTCACGCAGGCAATGACAAGGGAAAACATTCTTTTTAAAGTTGAAATAATTGTAAACCTGCAAAATTTGGCAGAAAAACTCACAGGAGGCGTTGTACCAGAAACTTATTTTCTGTAAACTAAATATAAAATTGACTCCATCAACTTGAAATTCTCAGTTTCTGTAAAATTTCAGAAAATTATTATAAGCCAGGAGTTGGGAAAGTTCCATGATTTACCATCAACTACAGCAAGCTGCTTCTGAAAATAAATCCCTGAACTACACTGGCTGGGGAAGTAAGAAGATGAGGTGTGTTCATGAATCATGTTTTGAGATTTTTAAAATCAGTAATTAGCGCAACACAGTGACCCCCACAACTATTTTTAGTGCTGTGTATTTAAAAAGTAATTTACATTTAGACATTATTAGATGTGCATTTAATTTCAAACCAGAATTACACAAAGTTTTAATCACTAAATATAAAGATGCATTTTAGCATATGGTTTATAATTAGCATTTGTAATTCAAGCCATAAACAATATAACTAACTACATTTATTGGTGGAACTTTACTTCCCACACATGTTCAATCGCTTTCAATTATTTCCCCAGTAGTCTACAACTCAGTACAGTACAGAAAATGTGTGCCTACACTTCAGTATCTGCGTAACAGCTTCTGTGCATTCACTTACAATGTTATAGATCTGTGCTGCTTTTCTTCATGGCCATGACATCTCATGGCCACAAACATGAAAACAAAAAGTTGCAAATACCAAATGAAATATTAGATGTGGCATATATTTGAAAATTGTAGCCAAGTATTACTGGCTTGTTTAATAAGGGACTTTGAAACCATAGCTTGACTTCTGTTGAAAGATCAAATTCCAAGCTAAGACCATTTGCTACAAATAAACAAAAATGCTTCTCCTTTTTTACTGACTTCACCACTGCTGGTGAGTTACTTCGCTGTGAGTTTGTTTCTTTACCAAAATGAGTGGCAGGTGCCTGCATTCCAGCACTGGATGTGGAGAACTAACGAGTAGAGGAGAGGTAGAACTGAGCTGCTTTTTCTGTATCTTTTCCCTTAGAAACTGCACACAAAGGAGCACCTGGATTTTCTTCTGCCCTTACAAGGCTGAAAGTTTTCCCGTGCTCCTTCTGAACAGCGGCTTTGCCTTACTTTGCCCACATCATGCTACTGAACTCCATGAATGAGCTGCTGCTTCGTATCAGATTTCTTCTCTGCTTAACATGAATGGTCAGTTCTTTATCAAATGCCTTACATAATGAGGAAGTGATGAACTTCAGATCTCTGGTGATTGAGACAATTTTAAATAACTGGGATAGATCTAGCAGCACCAAACATGCAGAATGAGTTTAAAAGATTCACTGAAAACTCAATGAATCAATGAGTCAAAACTTTTCTGTCTTCTTGGCTTTTTTTTTTTTTTTTTTTCTCCCTGAAGGTGCAATCAAACGCACAGGGCCCAGGCATAAACCTCTGCTCCAAATTAAAGCCATGTGCCTCACAAGACTATTCTGTAAGAGGAGCAGAGTCAGCAGCAGCTGTGCAAAGGGTCTCTGTAACTTCTGTAACCTACACTTCTATAGACTGCTTGACCCAAAATGCTCATATAGCAAGTGTAGGGGTGGTGTGGCTGCTACATGGTGCAGCTGCTATACTACCCCCATCATCTAGCCCCAGCAAAGCATGAGAGAAAGTGAACAAATACGTATTTGTTGAAAGACAGTAACTGCCCATCAGCTGCTCCATTTCTATTTTTTTTTTTTTTTGTAATTGCAAAATGTCATATGGATATAAAGTTGAAGAGAAAGGAGAGCATAACAAAATAAAATCCTGCAAACTAACACTGTGAAAAAATAGTTAAAGATTTTTTTCAGTTATATCTCAAATCTGCTTAAATGTATATATTATATTATTAAACTTCTTTCAGTGGAAGACTGACTTCAAACTACTTCTACCAGAACCAGGTGTTAATATCCTTTGATTTTTTTTTTTTTTTTAAACAATTGGGGTACATTAAATATACTTCTCAGGTCTAGTTTTGCATGACAGATATGTGATGTGCCAATGGTTATATATTATATTCTTCCTCTCAGGCATGTATCTCCTGCAGAGACAGCAGACTACAGAAGCTGACCCTTACTGAGACCATCTTGTCTCTCTGACAAAGATCCTTTTTAACTTCTTACTTACTGGTTACTTCCTGTGATGGATAAAAACTTTAGCTCAGCTTGTGATAATTTCACAGGCCCTGAGCACCCTGACCCTAGAAGCCCCAAGGTCAGAAGTCAAGTCTTTTTCTGAAACATCTGCGTGCTTCATATTAAAGTAGAACAAAAGTGAAGAAATATCCACCAGTGTGACAAGAGAAACAGGCAAAATGGGAATGACACGTTGGTCATCTGTTACCCATGCCACCTCAAGCCATTGACTGAAATGTGATGGAAAAACTCTGCCCGCTAGCTTTCCAAGCCTCCTTCAAATAAGTGCTTTGTTTGGGAAATGGTGAGAAAGGTCTCCAGTCATTTTTTATTTCTGCCTTATGTTAACTGTATGTATCTGTAGGTGTCCAGGCACCTACACAACGTGGCTTCACAAAGTCTAAAAAAATTCTGCTAACATTTCATTTTCGAAAGATAAGGCACATCAGAATAACCTAGGTTAAAACACACGTCAGCTTAAAATCACAGCTTAGGAAAGAGAAGATAGCAGAACAGATTATTCCTGCTCTCCACATGTCTGAGGAGCATCAACCATGCACAACACAGCCAGCTTAAAAAACTGTTGCCCAGAGTTATGGTTAGTGAAGGAGTTAATCATCTTCACTAACCTGGTCTCTTAAAATTTATTTTTGAGAGAAGTTATTAATAATAAAATACCTGTGGAAAATCATCAGCAGTGCTGTTCTCAAGTTTTAAATCTATACACATTATACTCTTTAGTTTTAAAAATATTTTTCAGGAAACACAGAAAAAATCAAAGTGGCCTTAATTTCAACAAATAGAAAGAGTTAATAAAAATCTAGAATTCCTAAACTAATAGAAGTATTACCTCTCTGAATTCTTCTTGCCTAGAACTGCACAAGAATAAAACTCAAATGCTCAACATACTTTTTCATAACTAAAGCATCTGTCTTACATTCAGGCAGGAACTACTTTTAGTATCCTTAAGTTAGACTAGACTAATATGCGCTATGAAGATGATCAGAGGGCTGGAGTACCTCCCCTATGGAGACAGGCTGAGAGTGCTGGGGCTTTTCAGCCTAGAGAAAAGAAAGCTTATAGGGGTAACCTTATAGCAGCCTTCCAGTACCTGAAGGAGGCCTACAGGAAAGCTGGGAAGGGACATTTTATAAGGGCATGTAGCAAAAGGACAAGGGGAAATGGCTTTAAACTGCAAGACAGTAGATTTTGGTTAGAAATTAATAAGACATTCTTTACTGTGAAGGTGGTGAGACACTGGAACAGGTTGCCCAGTGAGGTTGTGGATGCCCCCTCCCTGGAAGCATTCAAGGCCAGGCTGGATGGGGCTTTGAGCAACCTGATCTCATGGGAGGTGTCCCTGCTGCCTATAGATGGGTCTTGTGGGAGATGTCCCTGCCTATATAAAGGTCCCTTCCAACACAACCCATTCTATGATTCTCTGAATATTTTGTAGATAAAAGTTGTATATATATATCAGCTAATTTCTGTGTCTACAAAACTAACACACTTCTTTAGAGCAGAAAGAGGGCTTTTCTTTTTAACGTTTTCTTCAATAAAGCATGTCCTGATTACATCAGTATTTTAAAATTTAATGACCACATCTACATTATTTTATACAAGAATGATAAATTGACCAGGTGAATTCTTTCTATATTAGACGAGATGAAGAAATTTGCCTTGTAGAAATTAGATAAAAAAAACTGACGAAAAGGATGGATCTTCTGCAGTCCTAAAATCAAGGGTAGGAAAGCTTTAGATTGGCCACAATACTTCCCAGCTTAAGTCACAGCAGGGTTTATCCAGAGCTAATTAAACTGAAGAAAGTCTTTCCAGGAGACTGGAACTCATCTGTGGAAAAACTGCAAAACTGTGTAAACCTCCAAATCTCTCCTCACATTCCACTACATAGAAGAATGTGCATCTATTAATTATGACTTAACATTAAATTGTTATTCCCAGTCTTGACCTCCAGCCTCTCTAACCACAGACCAGGAACTTGCTGAGTCCTACCTTTACTACAGAATCTGAAAAAGAAGGATTCAGTGAGTTTTGTTTTCCCACAGTTTTTCAGGTTAGTGGATACATGGAACCTACCATCTAACTCAGTAACAGGTCCATGCAGTGACCTTCCACATTCATAGAAAACCTCACAGGTTTGTATGTGAACACTGGTCAAACTGTTCCTAAACTGCTGTTTGAAGAAGATAATAAAAAAGAATTTCGAAAATCTGTGAAAGACCTCAGGAAAGAAGGCAATGAAAAAGGCATACTTACCAACTCTACAAATGCAAGTCCTCCGTAACTGTGAGCAACAAAAAACACGTTCTCCGCTGCTGACTGGGAAATAAAATGGTCCCAAACATAAATTGCATGTTCTTCCGGAGATCCATTATCCTGCAGAAAAAAATCACATTTGCAACAATTACCTGTTAGCAACTGGCAATTCTGTCTAAAAGTAACATGTTCCTATATGCTAAAATGTATTGTTAAAACAAAATTCAAGCTAATAATACTCTGATGTCAAAAATGAGCAGATTCATTTGTCCAAATAAAAGAAATCTAAGATTGCAATTTAAATGCAGTAAAACTGTTGTTTTATTGTTACTTATTTTAATAAATACAACGAAAATTATGCATCTGCAAAATTTTGTCTAAATACCATGATGGCAATTCAGCTAAACAGAGGCATTCAAAGAAATTATGAGCCACTGCTCTGGTTTTCATTCTTTTGACAACTCTTTGTCAAATATTTGCTCACTGATGGTTTGTTTAAAGTAGTTAAGTCTTAGTCTGATAAAACAAATAAAAATGAGTATGAACAAGATAAATATAATTTCAGTCTTTAGAATTTTTTTGTATTATGCTCCAGTGGAAATTTGCCAAAGAGTAAAACTAGGGTATTTGCAGCTACTCTTTGAAATGCTATTTTTATTTGTTTTGAAACTGTAGACTATGAGATACAGGGCAGATAAACCACGTTTTGACTGCTTACGTATTAGCCATTATTTTGGAGTTTCTGGTAGTCGGAGGAATGTTTTTTGTTATTGAACAATAACCAATGGATGTAGTCAGAGAGCCACTGAAAGCACTGTAATCAATCACACTGATGCTAGTGCACTATCCTCAAACATGTGGGGATGCGCACTGCTATCTCTACCTTTGAGACTATCAGAAAGATCTTTACTTCTCTGTATTTTACTTCTTTATCAGGCTGTCTGTGGCATTACTTCAAATTTGTCTAGTCTCAGGTGGCATGAGTTTGATGCTCTGTTACTTCCTGCTTCCCACTAGGATTTCACACCTCTGTAGCACAACACTGCAGACATTTTCCAGCTCCAGAGCTTTTGTGCCAGGAAGAGCTGCTCAGTGAAGGTCATGTAATTTCCTAATATTTGCATCCCTTTGCTCTTCTCCACCAGTGCCTTCATATCACTAGAAGACACTGACAGATCATATAAGCCCCATTTCCTTGGGGAAAATAAAGTATAAACCAGCAAAAGCCACTGGAATTAAAGTGATAATTACACTGTATGAACAACTGTAACTTTATAAAGAACACTGAAGTCACAGTCTCACTCTAAAATACAATTTTGGAAATTTAATCTCTTACGGTTGTCGAACATGAGTGAGAAGACAGACAACTAAATAACCTGGTGGATGTAGGCTTTTACTTCTATTTTCATGCCTAGTTTACTATCCTAAATAAGAATGAGATAGTTACAAATCCTCATGGATCCGGACTGAAACCATTACAAACAGTCATGTGCTTAATTTTTTGTCCTAATTTTGTAGAGATTACAACTTCACAATCATATCTGCCTAAAAGCACTGAAGATATTCAATTTAATTCTGGACAGATTCTTCACTTGACTATGACACAGTTTTAAATAAATTTGTATTAACTACCATAAACCACCTCAAGACAAGAAAAGGCTTATTTTCTTTCAACCAGAGTTTGAACTTTGATTGTAAAGATAGAAGAAGGAGGTAAAGACCCCTCCTTTCATGAGTAAAGAGGTACATTTTTCAAAAGAAATTTCATATGGAAGATATGATTGGCAGGCTAGTTATTAAGATAAAGCCAAAGAACACCTCAGATGTTTCTTAAGGAAAAGGGATGTATTCTAACTATGATACATAAGGAAAAGGCACATTCGAACATAGGGAGAATTTCTAAATGACCAGTTTAACTAGAATATTTACTTTAAGTAATTTGTGCAAGATATTTATATATATATACTTTTTAATAATAATGTTACAATGAATTCCTGTAACAACAATTTTTGTGTGGGTATAAAACTGTGGTTTAATACTCTAAGAAAAAGATAAGGCTATTTGTGGTTAACTTTGTATTTTCATGCATTCTGTAATTATTATTCTCTGTGCTGCCATCAGGAGAAGCACAACATTTCAGGATTTCCACAAGACTAAGACAGCAGCAAGAAGCTTCTAAAGGATTCAAAAACTCAGCCTGAAAATCCTGCATCAATTAAATCATAAGCAGTAGTCACGTAAACCAGATCATTAACTGCACGGCTTCACAGTCCAGTACAAAGACTCAACAGAACTTTATAAAAACAAAAAGAAATGAACTGGAATTAGTTACTTACAGACTGTAACTACACGTTCCTTTGTTATTGGTGAAAAAAAAAAAAAAAAAAAAAAAAAGGCAGGATAAGCTGTACTCACTCTGCCACATGTAAGGGGCAGGAGTATGCGAAAGATGGAGTTTGGAGGAGTAGTGTATGTTTAAAAGAAAAGCCGTTTCTTCATGGCATCTGCTTATTTTTTTCCTCGTAGCAAGCCACTACTTTAAACAAGTTGGATGGAGAATAAACCAGTGCTGTGTCCATACAAGAAACATCTGTCCATGTAAGTGGGCACAGCAGACTCTGGGGTACTGCAAGTCTCCTTAAGATACTGAATTGCTTTAGGTCCATTAGGTCCTGGGGATTAACCATATCTGCCTGGCCTCAGTTAAATTATGATACTGAATACTGCAGTTTCAATATGAAGGTGCCAGTTTCAGGCAGCTGTTGCTTTCCTTCATTGTGGCTAAATACAATGCACTTAAATACCACCTTAAATGATTTTATAAACTTAGGGCTTTGTGTAATTATCTATAGAATTGTACAGAAAGGAATGAAGAAATCATGTTATGTACCTCAAAAGGCTGATGAGGCTTAATGCATTCTCATTTGTGAAACAGATTGAAGTGGAAAGGCGCTGGGAGAGCTGAACTTGGATTTCCAGCTGCTAGAAGTCAGTTATCTGCAACCAGTAATTCTATGTCTAAATAACTAGTTTCATTTTTTGGAGCTGTGGAAGTCATAGCTGCGGGTCTTCAACACCCCAGATATATACAAGAAAATATAAAAGTAGAAAATATTAAGAACCTTATTAGAAAAAGCCCTCTGTGTGATACATAACCAGTGCAAAGTAACCTTAAAACACACAGCTGTCAGGCTGCTGCAGTTCTAGTGCTGTGATTCTGTTCCTGCATCGGGGCTTGCTCAGGTGGTGAATGGAACATGGGAGGCATAAGCTTTGCACATCATGAAAAATCTTACATGGCTCCATTTTAAATGGAATATTATCAGATAAGATTTACCCTTTAATTCACTAATAAATGAAAAGATGTCCATGTCTTTTTCTTAATAACTATTATATTTCAATCCTTTTTACTGGTAAGATTAGAATGAATATACCTCATTTACTACTGGTGACTACCAACACTATGGAGACTATTAGATATTGAACACCTGTCACACATGCACACAGTAAAATCCACTGAAGATTACCTCAGAGATAAAAGGAGTTAAAATCACTTAAGAGAAGTATTGTCAAGGTATTTTAGATTGCCTACATTGTATTTATTCCTCTTCTTGAAGGCTACAGGAGGAATATGTTTCTGAAACTAGCTATAATATGCCGCCCATAACAATAATACAGAATGCAAGTAGTCCTATAGTCCTGGTCCAGTTAATGATCAGATTAGTTAAAAAGATCTGCTTACCACATGGATATATTCCTTTTCAATGAGAAATGATCATCAAGCCTTTGCAAATAGAGTAAAAATGTGTTTCATGTGGCAGAAATGAGTATTCATAGACACTACCTTAAGAACAAATGCCTTTCTCAAGTGATAAAAGGCCTTTTAAATTTTTGTAGTATTTTTAAACACTGTCTATTAACTATGTACAGAAGTCTTCACTTCTTAAACCAAATAGCTATCACTCAAAAAATGACCATAAATGGTTAATACGGAGCTCTTCATTTTAATATCAAAAGTTTAATCAAATAGTTTACTAGCACAGTCTACAAAAATAATATGACAGTGATTAATAAATTCATGTTCCTCATCTATATGAAGCCATTTAATATCCCAGGGCCAGAACCTCTTCCGCAGCCACAGGCTGCCTGAAGCAACAGATGGAGGCAGGGAGGAAGCCATGCTCCCTGGAGCTCTGTCAGGGTGAGCAGAGCCCTGGGCTGCTCTGACCTGCACAGCTGGGCTGGCTGATGGGGACCTGGGCATGCTGGCATTCCCCCATTCCTCCCTCGCCCTATATACAGAACTGCCCACGATGGCTCGCTGGTGAAGGGCAATGGAAGAGCCCTGCCCTTTAGTCGCATATAAATACTCTCTGCTTTGGGCTTCTTGTCTTCGGAGGCTTTTCTTTGTTACCTTTGTGTTCATTTTTGGCTGGCTGTCTCTGGTTTCTGTTCAGTAACTCACTCCTATTTTGTCTTGGCGCTTACAAAATGCTAACAGAAACACTCTTTTATACAATGCTGCTCCTAATCTCATTTCAAAAAGAGGTTTTGCTTGGAAAAACAGACTTGCACCTTTAAAATTCTCTCTGTAATAGGTTAGGAGCTGTGAAACAAAACAAATGATTGTGGGTAAATTCTCTCGCAATTCACTGTGCAAAGAAGCAGAGAAAGAGAATGCATATTTCGGGTTGTCATTTTTCCCAATATTGCTAGCGCTAAGAGTTGAAAGGTATATAACATTTTAATGGCTAGAGCCATTAGGAATACACTGATAAGCAGTGTGCATACAGTGAATACAGTGTTACGTTATGTTGCTTTCAAAAAACAGGTTGAATTTACTAATGTAATATCACAGTCATTAATTGCTAAATACCAAGCTGAAGTGATGCACCAACCCAAGCCTTATCAACTATGCCAGATTCTAACACCCAGACATTGCAAGGTCTGCAGTTATGATGGACTACCTGAGTTGATAACACATGGAATTATCTAAACAACATTTGCATATTTGGGTAATTATTTCCTAAGGTTAATTAGCTCCTGCAAAGCAGCTTGGCCTTTGAGACTGCTTACTGTGACAGGTTCACATATTTCCTGTTTCAATGCCAAAATTTACA